GGCTAGCTTGGGCAGTATAACTAGAAAAAGTGGGAGGAGCCTAATGGCTCCACCCACCCTCTTCTGGAACTGAATAACTTTGTAGATTTCTAAGTTTATTTTCCCCAATTCAAGGGAAATTTCTGCTGGGTCAAAGTCCTTAGGAAGGCCACGTATGAGAACTTTCAAGTACTTGGAATGCTCTGTCACATCAGTAGTAGGAGTCTCTTTCTGTTGACTGGACTTCTCTTCCGTAGTTTCCATGGGGGCTTTGTTTGTAACTGCCTGGGTAGTCGTAGGATCCGAGGCTGAGGCCTTGCTGATTTTGCTTTGCTTCTTCTTCCTCTTTCTCCTCTTCTTCCCTGGAGGTTGTTCTATATTTTCAGAGTCTGAGGCCGTGGCCTCTACACTGAGCTCCACATTTTCCACCGCGGGGGGAGGGGTGATTTCGGCTGTTGGTGTTATACTTTCGGGCGTTGTAGTGGTTGGCTCGGGAACACTAGTAGTTTCATGGCTTGGCATTGGTTCCTCCTTTTCTGTTTGCTATTTCCTTTCCTTGAGTCGTTTCTCATTTCTCCTGATCTTACGAACTGTTAAGACACCGTCTAGCATTTTTTGAAAGTGATCGTAAATCGGTCCATATTCGCAGGAATTGAGAAAAGTCTGAATTAGTTCTTTCATTTCATTTAGATCATCATCGCTGAAATTAAGGTAGAAAACTGCTGGGCGTTTAGATGAATCTGGATGCATGATGAATTTTGGTTGGACTTTACTGGCCTTGATGGCTTCTTCATATGTATCGTAGACGATAACATCCACGTACTCTCCATCCGATTCCTCCTGCATAGGTGTGATTGGGCGGCTAGGCGGTAACACCTTGCCGCCGCGTGCTGTTCTGTTATACGGCATTATTCGCTCAGAGATAAAGCACGTCTTTACTCGACAAAGGCATCAATCGATCACCCAAAAAATCGAAAAATCACAGAAAGAAATAAGAGAACAGGGTAAATATATATAGAAAGATGACGTCACAAGAGGGTTTAGAGCAACAGCTAATAGGAGGGAAGGGTGAATGGATGACGACGAATAGGAAGCAAGGAACAAAAAAAAAGGGGGGGTTAGTTAGGTTTAATCATAGATTCCCAAACAGGAGAAATATAAGAAACACTGGATAGGTCATTGATCAAGAGTTTGGAATTTTTGAAAATATGATAAGACTCGTAAAAATCTAAATAAAATATTGAAGAACAATTTTGAATGACTTTAGTGTAATATTTGTTTATCTTTGCCTTTAGGTTGGGTTATTCAATAGTAATAGCCTGTCCATAATTGTAATGATTTTCCAAATTTTCCTTTTTTATATATTTATTAAACATTAAACAGAACAATAGGAACACTAAACATAAACACAAATAAACATAAAATTTTCCTGATTATGCATTATATATTCAAATCGGATTTTTCCGATTCCACGAGATGTTTATCTCGCCAGTTCAAGATTCATTCTGATTGAATTCTCCCTCGGTTAGGGAAGACGCCTAGTAGAAATCCCTTTTGTGGGGATTTAACCTTATTCGTGGCTTGAGTTGCCACATCCTCCCGCCCCGAAAGAGAGTTCAAAAACAATTTACAAATAGAATTTAAAATTATACTAATACTAATTCTACATTAAACTACCAAATTAACAATTCACGACATAAATAATGAATCATACAAAAATTTATGAAAACAATATCAGCAAAAAAAAACATAAATTCGAATTAGAATAAAAACAGTCACTTATTCATAATCAACTTGTAATTTGTTACTCACTCATTTGATGCAATTTCTAAATTATACAATAACTGTACTGGGCGTCTTATGACCCCTGAAGACGTTTTCACAGAGACTGATCTTACCTTGCCATCTCGACCCTTGTGGCATTCAAGAATTCTTCCTAACTTCCAAAGTTGTCTTGGTATTTTCTCGTCACCTATTAAAACTATATCATTTACATTAAATTCAATGTTTACATTTACATGTTTGTTGAAATTTGCACCTTTTAACAGAAGAAGATATTCCTTTTTCCANGAAAAATTAAAATTATGATTAGAGTCCCAACAATGTTGGGCAATAGATGAGCGTTTAAATTCTTGTTTTTTGACATAAGCTTCATGTTCCTTGACACGGCACTTTAAGGCACGCTTAGTTTGGCCAATATATGAAAGGCCGCATTGGCAATTAATTTGGTATATACCCCAGTTATTTTGACTGTCAATGGGCTGTTTGAAATTAGAAAATTTTATCTTATTAATGGGACTGAAAATAATATTAAAATCAAACCTCTTTAGGATATTAGCAACTTGCCGACTTATTTTAGGAAAATAGGGTAAAATGACCAAATTGTTAGAAAATTCTTTGAAAGGTTTATCGGTAGGCGATTGTTTAGTTACGTTTTTATAAATATTATCAATAATGTTAGAGGAATAACCTCTGTCATGAGCAATGGGTTTGATGTAATTTAATTCTGTATCAAGAAGATCAATATTGGAACAAATATTAACAGCACGGTAGACAAAAGATCGAACAGAGGCAAGTTTTTGGTTGGGAGGGTGGGCAGATTTGTAATGAGGGGGGAGAGAAACAGCAAAAGGTTTACGAAAAACAGTAGTATGGAATGAATTATCATTCCGAGTCACAAGAACATCTAAGAAAGGAAGTTTTTGATCAGTCTCCAATTCAAAGGTGAATTGAATGCAAGAATCAATGCTGTTCATAACATTAAGAACTTTGTCTAAATTACAATTATTTTCATCTAATAAAGCAAAACTGTCATTAGCATTTCTTTTATAAAAGGGGAAAGTTAAGATTTTGAATAGTTTACTTTCAAAATAATGCATATAGATGTCACTAAGTATAGGGCTCAAAGGAGGAAATCCTTTCCTCCATGGTAAGACCATTGGTCATACGGTAAAATTTGTTATCAAACTCGAAAGTACTCTGTTGTAAGCAAACACGGGTGAGGTTAGATAAGACGGGTGAGGTTTTTATGAAAAGGACCTATCGACACCTGTCATCGACTAACTAGGCTTTAGGAAAAAATGGCTACTAAGATTTATAGTTTACCGGCTACTGAATGAAAATAGAAATTTCCAGTCCAGAGCAATGAATCTTAGTAAAATCTCTTAAGCTTTTCATTACTCGGTGAGACACTTTATCTTAACCAATGTTGAACAGAAGATTAATCAAAGTTTTTTCTGCCCCTAATGTTACGTCTCATTCTCCGTATCCTAGTAATTTTGAACTCCCAAAAATTAAAGTCGCTCCTACATCAAGTAACAAACAAGGAGAAAGATATTTACTTTCAGATTGAACTTTATCTGTCAAACAATGCGTATTTGCGTCACAAGGAGATATGTCTTCCCATTACCCGATGAAAGAAGAACGTTAGCCAGACTTATTAAAATTTGAATTTATTGGGTTTTAACGAATAAGAAAAATACTTTCTAGCAAAAATTTTATTTAAAGTTACATATGACAAATTTTATTCACGTAAGTTTCTTTTTAAAATATTAAACGTGTATAAACTGTTAGAGGAAATTTAATAAAATAGTTCTTAAATATTTTTTTTAATTATGAAAAAAGTTAAAAAAAATTACGTAACGAAAATAAAGAACTTTTTTTTTTAAAAAAGTTTATTTATAAATGTTTGATAAAATCAGTAGTCTCAGTTTTAACCTATGCTTTTATTTAAAGGATGTAGCGTAATTATTACTAATATAATAATTGAAAATGTGTTGAATAGTTAAAGACAGTGTTATTCATAACTCCCTCCGGGGTTTCGAAGCATTATAGTAAAAAGAAGAAGACGAATATGAAAAAAACAAACATATGAAATTATTCCGAAACTATTCAGGCTTTACTTACATACATTACAGGTGTTCTATATGAGAACCATTGGTCACACGGAATACATAAATGCTATAGTCCAGTTCTTTACTACAGTTTTTCTTCACAACTGGCTTCTGTGGTACATGTTACTGCCATCTGCCGGCAACTGCTTAAATTAAAACTTAATACTTTCGGAATAATTTCATATGTTCTTTTTTGCCATATGCGTCTTCTTTTTTTTTTCTATAACGCTTCGAAACCCCGGAGAGGGAATATGAATAAACTTGTGGTTATTAAAACATTTGTTAAGAAAAAAAAAACTTTGTTAAGAAAAAGTTACGAAACATACACGACCACACTCACACACGCACGCACATATACACACGCATACTTATATACAGAGAGAGATAATTATTTAATAGATAAAATGAAGAAATGATTTTTCACTATCCCATAAATCGAATAATGAATTATTAGGTTGTCAAATACTGAATAGAAATTAAATATCCTGAAAAAGGTTCACTTGTTGTACCAGCTGTAGCCAAAAGAATAAAAAATCAAATCGGAAGAAGTTAAATTGACTCTTTTATGTTTTACGCGTAATAAATACGGTTAAATAATGAAATTCAACCTGGAAGAAAATTAAGTTTTAAATCAAATATGCAAGTTTAAAAATTCGAGTTATAAAGATTTAATTGGAAAAACAATTCCTTTAAAATGAATACAAACTGCGAAAGGAAGTTGGAAAGAAAGGCTGTCTGACATCAATCATAGCACGTCATACGAGTGATTCAATAATAATAAAATTCAACCTGATAATTCAATAATAAAATTCAACCTGAGAGTAAATTAAATTTGTACGTTTGAAAATTCGAGTCATAAAGATTCAAATGGAAAAATAATATTTTAATATCTGAATGTTCTTCAATCAATTCTCAAAAAATATGAAATAATTCATAAAATTGTTTTTGAGTTAGGGCAGTGAGAATGTATTATTATGAAATCTTTATATATTTCTTGAGAAAGGTGAAAATAAATTTTAATGTTATGAAAGTGTTTTTATTACTTTGCCCACCTTCTGTTCAACTTACATTTTATGATTCATCAATTTTTATTGCTATAACTGAATCAATTTCGCTGCCAATGAGATGAATAAAATCATCCTTTAAAATTTTTATATGATTTTAGAACACAGAAATCCAATTCAAAAGATGATGAAGCAATTCACTCTTTATCTATGCTGGCAGATTTTCGCTTATAAATGATTATGAGCAAAAATTTATTTTCGAGCAACAGTTAAGCAATTTTTCATTGAACAAATTGACTGCTTTAAGGTGTAACACAAAAAATTTATTTTCTAGATTTAATTATGCAGATCGATATATCAAGTATACTTTATTCCTGAGATATTATTGCATTTTCATACAATCAACTAAATGCTCAAGTGTGTATATTCTGACGAGAATAGTCGAAAACTAATTTCAACTAAAACTAATTTCACGATACTTAAAAGTAAGTATTATTATATTACAATATACTTTTAAAAATATATTGTTTAATCGTCTTTTTTAATTTCAAGTTTTCGAAAAGTTTTTTTTATTTTTTATTAATGTTTATCAGCTTAAAAAATGTCCCTAGATGTTTGTTTTTGCCTTTGATCCTCAGAACATACGTCCTCCTCCAAGAAATAGCAGTTTCTAATATTCCATTATTAAAAATTCATTAAAATAACATTTATAAAGTAACATTTTTCGAATATAAAACTAAACTATAAATGAGGGAAGTAGAAATTGAGATAAAAAAAATAAAAAAATTAAATTGGTAAAAAAATTTGAATTGATCAACCATCATTAAGCAAATTAGACTATCGATAGTTGGAGAGAATTTTTATGTTGTTTCTGTGACGATGGGAACTACGGCTACTAAGAACGATAAAAGTTTAATGGCGTAATAGGTCGAACATTTAGCTTGCTATTGTTTACTTGTTTATTGTTTTTTTAAAAACTTTTCTTGAAATGTAGTTAGTTCGCATCTTAAATTCGAAGGATGTCCGTCAAAAGTTAATTGCCTCAAATTTTGTTTTTTTTTTTACGTGTTTTGCGTCAGAGACAATTAAGGTTTAATTTCACTTTAGCTTTTTTTACAGTCATTGGACTACGGAAAAGTAAAAACATACTGTTTCAGTTTTCTCCAATCCGCTGCGACATATTTTCCGTCAAGAGACACCGAAAGAAATACAGGATCAAATTGCGGTTTAAAGTACTATGGTTGTGGCGTACATCATCCTCAAAATAAATTTTTACCGTAACATTTTACACCGTAAATTTTACTGTATTAATTATTTAATTAGAGTCATTTAGATATTTTACGGTAATTATTTGTGTCAAAATTTTGGTATATCAGATTTTTTTCTTTCGTAGCATGTTCTCCGGTAAAAACGGATCATATGGTAAAACGGATCTTACTCACCCTGAGTTTCGAAAATTTTTACAGTAATTTTTTCTGGAATTTTTTTACACAGAAGGGACTTGAAGAAAGAGGACCACATCTCTCGTACAACTGTAAAATTATTAAACTTTATAACTTATTCATTTATGATTTTTTTCACGTAAAATGAATTCCTATTACTTCATATTTACATTAAATAAAATATTAGATATTTTTAAATCCAAATAATTAAAGTGCTTGAACTTTATTTATAATCAAATTATGTCTAATAACTATCATTACTTTCTTTTCCTTTATAGAAAACATGACATTGTGTTAGCAAAACGCGGAATTTCAATATGGAGCAATCACAACAAGCAGCAACCAGTAAAGACACTGATGAAAATGCAAAGACTGATAATTCTAATGAATTCACAAAAGCAAGAATTATAAAAAACTTAGTGTTGGTAAGCTTTACTTTTCTGTTATCGTTCACCGCCTTTGGCGGATTAGCCACACTACAAAGTACAATGAATAAAGAAGTAGGTCTTATATGCTTTGCCATGCAGTACGTATGCGGTTGTATTACATGCTTGTTTCTACCAAAATACTTGATTAAGAAATTCGGTAGTAAACATGTATTGGTGTTTTCCATGTTTGCGTACGTCCCTTATTTGGCTTCAAACTATTACCCTGTGTTTGGTGTGATGATGCCAGCTTCTATAATTGTTGGTTTTGCAACCTCTCTTGTTTTTAATTCCCTCTGCACGTATGTGAATGATTTATCTTCTCTGTACGCAAATTTGTGCTCAGGAAACGATCCTCATAATCTTAATCTAGAAAATTCTACTGAAGAAATAAACACTTTGAAAAATAATTTGAGTGATAGTCCACAATTTTATGATAGTGTTCGGAAGCATAAGGATAGTATTAGTTCTACCATGCAAAGCTTGTTTGGAGAAAATGGCGCGTCTCCAGCTGGTGCACTAAATACAGATAAAGAAATTGCATTAATTGAATTTGCGCATGGATCACCATTGAACAAGAGAACTTCAAGCAACGACAAGAGTAAGTTAATTGAAGAAGGCTTAAATAAACACGAAAAGAAGGAGGCATGGAAAGGTAAAATCCAAACAATTCTGGAAGAAACCTGTGATTCTTTAAGAAATGGAACAAAACAAACCTCAATTACTACAGAAACCTTGATTACCGCAGATAATAAAAGCAATGATGTATCAAATAAGGCTGGACATGGACGGATTTCTGATTCCGGAGTATCCCGTTTGAGTTCAGTTCTTGAAGAAGGAACAAAATCAGAAACTGTTGCTAAAAATGAGCAAAAAGATCTATCTGTCCTCAACTTCCAGACTTCAGATAAAGCAATAAAAATACTAGAGACTACAACATCACGTTTTTTTGGATTTTTCGGTTGCGTGTATCAAGCAAGTCATATTTTGTGTAATGTTGTATCACATTTCATTTTTCAAAGAAACTCTATGCAAAGAGAATACAACTTCAACTCAAGTTGTGTGTGTGGTTCAGGTTTTTGCAGCATGGAATCAGCCTGCATTTTGCATAATCTAGAAATGCCGAGTAAAGAAACCAGATATATTTTGACTACTGTGTATGTGGTTATTAGTTTTCTTTCAGCATGGATTATATTGCTATTCCTAGACAATTTAAACAACAAAAATGGTGAAGTGAAGTTTTCATTGAATATAGCTTTGACGACCTTCAGATTCCATAGGAACGAAAATCTACTTCTTCTTATGCCATTATTCTTATGTTTGGGAATTTTTGAAGCGTTTATTACAGGAGATTTTACTAAGGTGATTATATAATTTTTGAAAATCATAAATATTATTATACACCGAAAATAAAGTATGGTCAAAACTACAGGAAAACGGTTAACTACTAGACACGCATATTAAAGTAAAAACTATCAGAATTTCGGTAAACTGTTGCCAAACGAAATGATGAATTGCGAAAGGAATAGTTTAAATACCATATATTTTGGTTTAATGACTCAGAATTATAGTTTTTTTTAAAAAATCAGAAATGTCATTTCCATTCATTACAGTAATTTTACAAGAATTTTTCTCAGATTAGGGATAAGTATTATAATTTTATTGCAGTACAGTATCCTTAATATGCAGATATATAAATTGTTTGCTATTGTTAATGCATGAAAGTTTGAGTCATAAGGAACCCAAATGTTATTCAAATCAGCTGAAACTTTAATACGGTGCTTATAAGTTGAACCCCAAAAGTCATCTTAAATTTGATATCTCGATACTAAAGTATAAATGTGGAACAAAAATAATGCTCAATTCTAAACAGTAAAATTTCGGCATCGGTATTACAGTCTTGCCATATTCCGAAAAAGAGGGAAAAAATTAAAAAGTGGTATGAAAATTCCCAGGAAAAAATATTTTTGCAATTTATTATCGACCAAACACCGAAAAAAAGTACGGTCGAAACTACAAGAATATTGTAAAATTTACCACGTTTCTATGGGAAAACCGAAAAGCAGAGTAATATTTACTGAAGCACTTTGGTAATGAATTTGGTAAAATTAACGATAAAATATGGTTTCATAATTTGTCATAAAATTAAGCAATGGTAAAATTTCGTAATTTTATCATGATATCTTAGAGCATGGCATGAAAAGCATTTAATTATTTTCAGTTTTATAGCTTTTACTATATGTGCTTTAATAAGAAATAATTATAATTATTTCTTATAATTATAATTATTTCTTATAATTATAATTATTTCATATAATTATAATTATTTCGTAAAATTATTATTATTTCGTACAATTATAATTATTCTAATAATAATAATAACAACAATTTTGAAAACCGGAACTTCTAGAAAACCATTACCATGTGAATTGAAAAATTACCAACTTGTTCAGTTCTTTGTTTCAATTTCTATAAGAATGATGTTTTATTTATTTATTTATTTTTTTACAAGAAATTTCATTATCATACAGTAAGGCAGTTTTACCGGGATTTCTTTCTCTGTGTATGTGTTCGAGATAAATTTCTTTTCTTCCGAAATGATTTTCCAGTTTGAAAATTTGTTAATTTACTTAAATAACTAATAATAACTAATAATAAATAACTTAAATAATTTATAATTTATATCATAAATTATTATTTATTCTGGTAAAACGCTTGTAAAACACATAACAATACTACTCTTGCAAAACGCAAAATGATTTAATCATATTAACAATTTATATCATAATTTCATCATTTGAAATGGTAAAACGCATGTCATATCAAATCAGAAGTTACTCTTTGCTGTGACACGTTTCAGAATTTAAACTCTACGAATCGCTTAGTACTAAGTTGTGCATCTGCGATAATTGATAAAATTCGAAATTCGAAATAAATAAATGCAATTTAAACATTAATAAAAATGTCTTTTTACACTGTTATCATTTTTAAACTATTAATTGTCAGGATAAGTTAAATAGTAATGTGCTGATTACATATCTGTTTATTTCCGTGGATTTTAAATTAAAAAAAACTAAAACTGTTTAACATTGTTGTTGGCGCATCCTGATGGGACAGAATAATCATATGATGAGGTTTTTAGAGTAAGAAAGAAAACAACATATCATCTTCTATTATCTACATAAATGTAGTAAACTTTATAACGACATTTTTCTCTGTATTACTTATTTATATCTGATTTATCTGTGGCTTAATTTATTCTTCTATTTCGATTAGATTTATGTTAAAGTAATCCTTATCTATTTTAAAGCACTGAAAAATAAATTTCAAACAAAGGCAAGCCGAAAATGAAAATGGAAATATTAGTAACACAAAGATTCACAAAATTTAAATCAAGAATAAGTCAAATTCAAATGCCAAAAAAAAAAGTAAAATAAAATAAAAATAAATAAAATGAGATAAAATGTAATTAAAATAAAATATGAAATAATTAAAATAAAATAATTAAAATAACATAATTAAAATAAAATAAATAAAATAAAATAAATTTAAAAATAAATAAAATGAAATTAAAAATAACAAAATAAAATAAAAAATAAATAAAATGAAGTAAAACGGGAAATGAAAACAAATTAATAAATAAATAAAAAGTGGAAAAGTTCGGACTCAGAGGGAGAAAAGAAAAAAGAAAGACGTCATTAGTTGCTTTCAAATTTAGAAAAGTGGTATTTCCTTAATATTATATGTTTTCGCAAAAGCTAAACTAACATTAAACTAACATGCAATATTAGGCAATAACATCTAAAACCATATAATGGAAAAGAAAACAAAACCATATCATATAAAGCAATAAGTAATAAAAATTCTCAATGAAAATTTCAGTCATGTACAGATAGCAACCGGAAATCAAATAAAGTTACAGTTAAAATTGTGTTGAGAGAAAATAAAAAACTAAGAATTTTTCATAATCTTATAATTTGTAATAATTTTATATTGTTTTATAATTTTATAATCTAATACGATTTCTTTTATATTTATATAAAGATTTATGAAGTCAATACCATAAAATAAAAATCTGATTACTAGTGTGACATCATGAGTATAAAAAAAAATACTAAAATAATATATAGACAAAAATTACTCATGAACAAGAAATATTTTATTGCTATTATATAATAAAAATTTTAAATGTTGTTATTAAAGTATTTAATCAATTTCATCAATGTCTGGTTATTGCGCAATAAATGAAGATGAGTATATAAAGCTATTTTTTCATTAAGCTTTATATACTCAATGAATAATTGCTAAAAGTATCGCTAACTGTATCATTTGCTTATAAAATTTGGTTGTTTTTATATATTTACTATTATGAAATTAGTAATTCTAATTATTTTAATTAATAAATGCGATTTCCGATATATTGATAACACATTATTAGCTTTAATTATATATATTGTAAGCTATTTATCAATTTTTTTTCTAAAGCATTTACTCTTTATAAAAATCACGATAACAATCTTAGTTTTAGTTTTCTAAAATTAAAATTAACTAATTGGGAAAATATATGTTCATCTGACATAAAAGATAAAAGAAATATTTTCGATTCAAGCAGCTACAAATTTCAAACAACTCATTTGAGCTTGAAAATATACATTTGCTTTTAGGCTGCCATTTACACGTGAGTTTACTTTTCTTAGGGAAATTACTTATTTAGTGCGTCGTCTGTCATTGTTCATATTCATAAAAATCTTTAACAAATCTTTTTATGTTACTAAATTCTCTTGTTTAGTTAATTACTTAAAACGAAACGTGTTCTCACTCACTTTTATTATTCATATCATGCATTTTAGTTCTAAATTTAGAATAAAGAATGTTAGAGTTAACATTTCAAGTTTTTCCCTTTACCAATCGTGATAACCGAAATATATATATATATATATATATATATATCATAACAGGGTAACAAACCCCGATAT